CAGAATAATTAACAGGACAGACATGCAGACAGACCAGCTAGTCTGCATGTAAACCTTGTGTTAAACATTAAAAGTCAATAAATTGATCATTCTACCTTCTACGGTTGTATGTAAATTGAAAAAGGAATTAATATATTTTCATTCAAAAATTCACCTATCGATCGAAAAACTAAAATTGGATGTAACTTCGATAAATCTCATTTTAATTAAAAAAGAAGCATTTGTTCGACAAGCATATAAATATCTCGTGGAAGAGTATACAAAACCTCCATTGGCCATGTCCACAGACTGAACGTATGGCCTCACATTGCGACAAGATTGTTACACAGATATGGGATAACGATCTTGTTGCTTGTAAAACTTCTTTACTATATGGACATTTCGATTAATCGGTTATTGAAATAAATTAATTGTTACGTTTGAAATCTCAATTTAAATCTTTTAAATTCTATTGGGATTCCAATCATTACTGAATACAAGTTTTCTTAGCGCCATTTTAGATTTGATTCAAAGGAAAATACTTTAAAATTAGATGAAAAGCTCTATTTGATCATAATCTAAGAAATATTTAATAATTGTAATTGTATAAATATTGTACTTATTAAAAATCATCTACTTAAATTATCACTCATTTCAGGAAATACCCCGCAAAGATAAACTCCTTATTAAACGTAATGGTTATGCTAGACCTCCTCCACGAAACTTTACTAATCCAAAAAAGGAATTACAAGATAGTTTACCACTTTGTCACCCAAATGATGATTATTTAAAGGATTTTAATCCCTTACCAACAGGTAGTTAACCATAAGTAGAAACCTGTAACACAACAATTTTCTATACAATATTATTAACAAAGAAAAACCATTGTACATTTCTAGCAGAACCACCACAAAGAATCGCAAATAGAATTAATATTAACGAAGAACACCAACAAATCATTAACAAAACTAACACGAACACCAATTCCTCAACTCCCAAAACCACAACAACAACTACTCCATCCATTAAAGTAGTACACTTTGGTGTAGTCTAATTGTTTGCCTTTATTTACTAATTTCACTTATTATACTTATATTAGACTCCCCTAAAACTATTGAAAGTGTCTTCCAAGTTTAGCGTAAGTTTTCATAACACAATTATCCGTCCATTTAGAAAAAGCTTTACACAAAAAGTAGTTTCTTTAACTAATCTAAACCTAAATTTAGTTAACTCATAATATTACATTGAAATTCATTATACAATTTTAGTTTAAGTTGCCTTTTTGTATGTTAAATTATTTTTACACACATGTTTTTTAAGTGATTTTGTTAAAATGGAAATCCTAGCAATATTTAGATAGTACAAGAGAGTTTTATTTATAATTTATTAAATTTATTATTCGTTTTTTATTTTTTATACAATTTGTATGGTTACTTAAAACAAGAAATAAATCAACAATTAAATAAAATATTTATTTACTTTTTCTTTGAACCACCACCCATTTTTTCCAATTCAGCTTTAAGTTCTAGCAGATCTTTGTCAGGTACATAACGTCTCTCTTCGCATTCATCTGTATGTTCCTGTACGGTGAGTTGTACACCTTCGGGTAAAGCGGCTTGCGCTATTCTTAAAAACATGGGATACACTGGTACATCAACATCTTGGAGTTGTATGTTACGTTCGTAAACAGTTAAACGATATTCGGAATCGACTACTGTGGAATTGGGTTTAAGCCGTTGAACGGTCATATTTTGAGGTGGCAGAGCATAACTGTAATACATATATAGATTAAATATTAATTCCGAATATAAAATTCAAGCAGACAGAACAATCAAATTATTTCTATAATTATACGGTGTGACAAAATTACAAAAAGTGAATATACTTTCCACGTGACCTAGTGCAGTTTATATGTCTAATAGAGTAATTCACAGCACCATATACCCTGAAATCGGGATTTTACTACAAAAACCTGATTTTTTTTGCAGGACTTAGATATTTTTATTTCAAATTTTTTTAATCTGATTTTTTAACGGCAATATAAATAATAATAAACTCTTCTAAAGTACACATACTTCTTTATTCTGTACGAACATAAGTGAGTTTTTAGGAACTGAATCCACTTTTTTTAATTTTTTGGTAACCGACACTTTATTATGAAATCTCAACTTATTGTTTCTTTAGTAATATTTTTAACGGAATTTCAGATAAAGTCCGACAACATTAAAAATCCTTTTAGGGATAACTCTCGATTTCAGGAGTACATATATATTAATTCAAAATATGGATCTATAAACTGCACTTGGTCATATGTTGACAAATTCTTTACTACCACACAGTGTAATTAAATTGGACCATTTTTGAAATCGGTCCAGCTCAGGGTATAACAAATTTCTTAATTTCTAACAAACTTATATACAAATTCGTTATAATTGTATGAACTTACCAATCGGCAACTTCAAGATCCAAATACTCTGCTACGCTATGTAAATAACGTTGATAACTTTCCAAAATTGGATAATCATATCCTTTAATTTGTACATTCAGACTTTCATATTGAGGATATTTAGGTTTCAGTGACTTTTAATAAAAACACAAATTATTTAAACGAATTTTGTTTCTGCTTGAAATTGTACAATACCTCCAAATAATCCGGTTCATAAACACTGGCTCGCAACGACGCAGTTGAGCTAAGATTTCTAACTAAATTAGCATTGCTGTGTTGTGCTACTTTTTTAATCAAGGGACTAATCTGTAAATGTATGATAGAAACAATTATTTCTTAAAAAATTATATTTTAACGCCAAAAATACCTTTCGCAACATTTTGTTATTCTTTTCTCTTTAAATTTTTTAAGGTTATGTCATCTAACAGCTGTTACTTTGACAATCGGAAGTGTTTGGAAAAAATAACCCTGCAGTTACACCTTCAATTCCTTAACACAACTGCTCAAATGACTCATAAAATTTCTATAATATTATTAATTTGAAGATATCATCATATAAACCTTTATTGATGGGGAATTATTAGCACACTTATTATCATCATGACTCCTAAACGGATTACACAAAAAACATTTTTAACACTCTTGCTCTTGTGCATTTTTAGTGCATCCACATTCTGTCAAGTAATGTTCATATACATAGGTATCTTCAATATTTCTGTAGAGCTAGATCTGATTTCATTTTATAACAAAAATAATTACCCATATTGTTTAAATTTTATAAATTATATTTCATTTAAATGCTGATTTTAATATACTCCATAATTTATTTCTTATTATATAGTGGAATATTGTTAATACAAACTTGTTTTTATATACTTTATTAAATATTGATTGAATTTTGTATAAGTATTTTTTTGAAATATTGTATGAAAAAATATTTAAAAATTTTTCACTCTGAAATAAAACTTTCAACATAGAAATACATTTCTACATTATAATGGTTGAGACCCATTTAAAATTTCTTCATTACCTGAATTTACATCAGTTTTTAGTTTTCAGTTCCAGTATTTGTATCTACATATGTAGTAACTATATACCAAAAGAACTGGCCAATGTTTAAAAAATGGGACGATTTTAAGCGACATTTTGAAATGTGTAAATACTTTTAAAAAACAAAACTAATTTTTAAATAATTTTGAATGTTTTGTCAAGTGCTGTGATAAATATTTGTCTAATATAGACATGAGGTAAGGTACTGAAGTTCCCTCCGAAAATGAAAGTTTGGTTTATTATAAGATACCGTTTCCCAAAATGTGTGTCCTTAGGCCAATGTTTGGTGATATGGATCAAATAATAAAAATAAAGTTTCTAAAAGTTTTCCTATTTTATTTATATTCCACGTAAAGGAATGATAATTAATTTTGATATCATGTGAAAGGTCTTTGAGAGGTGCTTTTAATGGCGTATTACAAATTAAAATTAAAACAAGTAAGAGTGTTATATTCGGCTATGCCGAATCTTATATACCCACCATCAAACCTCGTTTGAATCGAATGAAACTTATGTCGAATTTTGATCTATATACTCGTATTTTTAGGCCAGTTATAAGCGTTAAAGTAATTTTCTGAAGGGACCTTATATAGGGAGGTAGGGTCAATTATGGGTCGATCCTCATAAAATTTGGTAGACATAATTTGGTTCGTATTAAATTGATTTGTGTCGAATTTCATCGCTACACTCGTATTTTTAAGCCATTAATGAGCGTTGCAGTCATTTTCTGAAACCGATCAACATAAAATTTTTTAGATAAATTTTGACTCATATGAAACTTACTTATGTCGAATTTCATCTATATACTAGTATTTTTAAGGCATTTATGTCGAATTTCATCGCTATATTCGTATTTTTAAACAAGTTATGGCTGTTAAAGCTGCTTTTCGAGGGGTCACTTGTATGGGGGCTATCCGAAAACGTGGACCGATATTGCCCATTTTCAATACCAAACAAACCTTACCTATAAGAAATATTTATGTGAAATTTCAACCTTCTAGCTCTTTCCATTCGGACTCTATCGTGCTTTCAACAGACAGACGGACGGACAGACATGGCTAGATCGTCTTAGAATTTAATGAGGACCCAGAATATATATACTTTTGTGGGTCTATGACCAATATTTCGATGTGTTACAAACGGAATGGCAAAATCAATATACCCCCCATCTTTTTTGATGGTGGGTATAAAAAATGTCATTTAAATTGTTAAAAATTGTATTATATAGATTACACATGTGGCAAAAATAAATACCTGGGAAAACATAGGCCGATTTTAAGAATTAATCAAAATTTTTAATTTTTTTTTTTATTCTTAAATTTTTTAATTTTTTCCATCCCTGTATAATTTCTCACACAACTTTTGTACTTGCTCTATTTTTTATTTCTCGGATACCGTTTTTATTTAAAATCTTTGAAAATTAAAAAATTAAGCGTATTTGAGAACCTAGCCGGCATAAAGTCGATTTTAAGCCGCCGCCGATATTTATTTTTAGTGTCAGTCGCCGCCGCCGTTAATGTTTGTTGGCGCAGGATTTTGCATCAGAACAATTCTAACAGAACTGAAAAAATAATATGTACGTGCTAAAAAAATAATTTTTCTACGAAAAATACCTAAAATTTTATATTTTCCAATAAATATAATAATTTTAAGTGTGTTAGAAACAGCAAAAAGTTTTGTACAGTACAAAAAATAAGACAAAAGAAAATATAAAATGCTAAAATTAAAAGAAATAAAGTGTATCTTTTATTGCGTGGCGTTGCTACTAACATGGGGAAGATTCCAATTGGTTGTGGGCATATCGGAACCCGGTATAACAGATTTTGTCTTAACACAGGTAAAATTGCATCTTTTGCCAAAAATATTTGTGTAATAATTTTGCTTATAGGATTTAATAATCGAACGAGAAATGAGACCTTTATTGGCCAATACAAAAATCTATGTGAAAAGTAAGTTGTTTGTTGTCTACTTGTTTTTGTATTTTCTATTCTGATAAGGGATGTTAATGTTAAGTAAATATCGATTTAACTTTTATCCATATTTATACTATTTTATAGTTGAATGTCAAACTAATAGTGCTAGTAGTTTTGATATACAAATATCCTGGTCATTAGTGGAACGACAATGTTGGTTTGATGCTCCTGATGTAAGTGATATACCATGGTAATACAATTGTATGTGTATAATTATATATTACTTTATGTTTTAGCTCCAAAAAGCCTATATTGACTTTGATAATCAACAAAGAGCTCAAAATAAATCAACACAATTGGAAATTAAGGGAAAACTTAATGCCACCTGTCCAAATCATATAATAGTTTTGGAAATACCTAATAATGGTGATGTCTCAAATAGCGCTTTAAAGTCGGCAACGGTGGCAAATGCACTCAGTAAACAGAATAATGTGGCTTTAACTGCCAAATCACCAGTTGATAACTTAAAAAATTCAAAACATCCATTTTCCGTAAGTTCTTTTAGTTTTATTTTTTTATTAAATGTGTTTGTATTATTGTTATTATTTACTTTTTCACATTTTCTATTTAACGTTTCATTATCTTTTTTATCTTCACGCTTAATTTGCTTTTTTGTTTAATAACAAAAAAATTATGAATGATTCATTGTGCTACAATTTATTTAAACCCTTTACATTTATGAAAATTTCTTTCTTATCTTTAAATTTGTAGTAAAATTTGATTTTTAATTATAATTTATGTTTAAGGTATACAGTGATGTAGGCACACATTCATACTTCTAAATAGCCGCGTGATATTCATTTCAAAAACAATTTTTGTGATATGAGATTAAGTATACCGAAATAGTTGAAATCATGTATGTATTTAGCATGAATTCGTTATATTTTGGATTTCTTTCTTATCGTTCTGTGGTACGATTCTGGAACCTATTCTTTAAACGAAGAATTTGTTTTCTAAAATGTCACCCTTCCTTACATTTTTTAAACTAAGAAGGCAATATTATGTGTTGAACTATTATAGAATCTTTGAAATTCAGCACAAAATATATAAATATAAATCCATCGGCCCTATGATTTGCCTCTAACATTCAGAAAATTAGGTTTTCCTCATTAAATTATCGGAACCAATGTAAAATTTTACACAAATGCTTTATTATAAAAAATAAATCACAAATTATATTCATAACTATAGTAGGATATCAAATAGTCGGTCACGTCCGACTTTACTTTTTTACTAGTTTATCCCCTCATTACTTATTTTCTTAAATTTAATTTATTAAAGATGTAACTGAAAATATTAATAATTCTGTTTTTTTTTAGCCAACAAATAAAATATTCTATACGGTTGAACATGATGGTATTTATGAGATATCAATTACAATTGAAGCTAAACAGGCTCAGGTTGAATATTCAGCACCAGTACATATCGAAATGTTGGGTCCGTATGGTTACATATCAGCTACAGATTTTCCCTTCTTACCGGTAATTTATAAAATTAGAAAACTAATCTAAATTTATTTATATCTTAATAATCATTTGAACATATTTTTAGTTTTACGGCATAATGTGTATTGTTTATGTCATCTTTGGCATTATCTGGTTAGTGGTATCATTTATGCAATGGCGTGATTTATTACGTATACAATTTTGGATTGGTGGTGTCATTCTGCTGGGCATGTTGGAAAAGGCATTCTTTTATGCTGAATATCATTCAGTAAATGCTAATGGTGTTTCTGTACCTGGTGCAGAGTTAACAGCTGAATTTGTATCGTGTGCTAAGAGAACTTTAGCTCGTATGTTAGTGATCATAATGAGTTTAGGGTTTGGTATAGTAAAGTAAGTGTAAAGTTCATTTTAAAGTAATAAATTTTCGATAAATCTCTGTTTTTTATATATAATAGACCACGTTTGGGTCCCATGTTGCATCGTGTGGTTGGTGTTGGAGCATTGTATTTCCTTTTGGCTTGTGTTGAAAGTTATCTACGTGTTATGCGTAATAAACCAGATATACAAAATGAACTTTTGGTGGCCAGTATACCATTAGCTGTTTTAGATACCGGCATTTGTTGGTGGATATTTACTTCTTTAGTTCAAACAACTAGAACTTTACGCCTGAGAAGGTTTGTGTTGAAACAAGTGTTTTCTTGTTTGATATTAATTATATGCACTCTATATCTAACTAAATATGATGTGTTTGTTTATGTTTTATTTACAGAAATATGGTTAAACTATCGTTGTATAGACATTTCACCAACACTTTAATATTTTCTGTTATTGCCTCCGTTATATTTATGCTGTATGCTTTGCGTTTACGTAAAGGTGAAAATTGTACACCAGTAAGTTTTTTTTTAAATTGATTGTTTATTAATTATTTGTATTAAAACGTTTTTTAAATTATTTTTTTAGGGCTGGCGTAATATTTGGATTGATACAGCTTTTTGGCATATTTTATTTTCGGTTTTATTATTGGTTATTATGATTTTGTGGCGTCCTACAAATAATAATCAACGTTATGCTTTTACTCCTTTACTTGATAATCCAGAAGATGAAGATGATGATGGTAAGTTTTAAAGTATTATATGTTTTTTAGATAATTTTGTAAGAAAAGCATTTGGTTTAAAATAATGAAATAGTGTTTATAAATTTACCGGATTTCATTTTGAAATGAAACTTAAGAGTAAGGATTAGATATACAATGCCTTATATAATATTTAACAGCCACAATCGGTAGTTACTTCCCACTGGGAATCGGAAGCTTTGTTTTGTGTCGTCTGTTTGTATCATTTGCAGCAGATCTCGTTACAAACTTGCTGTCGATTAACATGTCATGCAAGGATGTAACACATTCCGATTATGTGGATTTAGTATAAAGCTGTATTTATTCCCATAGGTTGCAGTTTATTCATGTTCATCAGAGATTAACCTCCGCACCTATTCTCTAATTCATATCATGCCTATGCTAAAGCAAATCCGTAGAAACATCTCTTCATTCTCTAGTTAGATATATTGAAGGTTCTCTAGCACATAAGAAGTACTTCCCTGTTGCCTTCTTAGACAACAATGTCTAACCCAATGCTATCTTAACCCATTTACAGCCAATCAAAAAGTACAAGTTAATATTTTGAAATTTTAATGTATATTTATTTTCAACAATGCAAAAAAAACAGAAACGTAAAAAAATATTAATGATTAGGACATTAGAGGGGATTTCCGTTTTTATGTAGCTCGCGTTTTTTAACGGTTTAGAACTGTCACAAAATCTAGAAAAAGAGTGAAATGGTATACACGGGCATTACTATTTTATCAGAGAGTATGGAAGAGCTATCTGGAATGAAGCTAAAGCATATCCTAAACATTATTATTATAACCTGGTGGTTTAGCTATGGATACAGTCATCATCACTCCATCAATGAGATGATTACTTAAGCAGATTACTTGACTCCATTTAATTTTCGACCCCATTTTGATGATCTAATGAGTAATACTAAGACTCCTGGGTGTCACAATGGGGTCGATAATGAAATGGACTCAAGTAAATTGCTTATGCGGTTGCTGCCCTTTAAATCTAAACTAATTTTCATTCTTACTTGATTGATTTTGACTGCCTCCATAGTTAAACCACCAGGTTACAATGATAATGTTTAGATAATGTTGATTCTGTTGAAGCGTTCTGTAAAGATGAGCTTACTTTTCCTCGGTAAACACTCTAGTGTTTACCTTAGCAATATTCTAGTCGAACAGTAAAGAGGTGTTAAGAAATAATAAAAGAGAATCCGAATCTAAGCGATCATAGCCTAATGTTTGAAAACACCAGTTAAATAAACTTAAAACCCTTTATTAAAATCTGCCTCGACATTGAGGAAAAAGCTACAAATTTGTTATTCCAATATAACTCGTTAAAATAGGCGCTGTCTTTTAGATATTTTAATCTCCAAAAAAGTTCTTGCAAATCAAAGAGCTTTATAATCGTGTTAGGGGTTTAAAATTAATCCTTTTATTATTTGTAGAAGAAGATCAATTTGTTGCCGATGTATATGGTGTAAAAATGCGTGGCACCAGCAACGGCGCCAGAACACCACCATCTAATCAAAAAACCACAACTAATGAAGAAGATGACTTACGATGGGTGGAAGAAAATATACCCGAATCAATGGCTGATGTTACACTGCCGGCATTGGATTCGGACGAAGAAATCATCAATACTAAATTTGAAGTTTCAAAAATGCAATAAAGCGAAAAAAATGAATGTTAAAAAATTAATCACATAACTCATTGTTTGCACTAACAATGACAACGACTGTATGGCTTATTTAGGAATTATTATTGTTTTGTGGCTTCTTTGTTTTTTTTTTATTAAAAATTTTATTTAATTTTTATTTAATTTTAGCAATATGTTATTTTTTTTACAATAATAAAAAAACATCAATTAAAACTAAGTTAAATTAACTAACTTTAACTAATCAAAAGTATTCTATTTTAATTAACACTACCAACCATTTGTTTCATTCAACTTTCTTTCTATCTAGTTCTAACTTTACTTAATTTTCATTGTAATGCATATATTGCTGGTCAATCTGATACAAAAACAAAATAACAATCATTATTCTTATAATCTATAACGCTCTTGCTTCTTTTAAATTGTTCCTAAAACAAAACAAAATAATTTACGTTAACGAATATGAAACTCAAAAAAGAAAACAAACAATTAATGTAAAATATTGTAAAACATATTTTATGTCGTCTACACTTAGTCATCAATATTTTTTTAACTATTTAATCAAAAAAAAGTTTGTCTCTATCTCCCCATTCTTGCTCGTAATTTAGTTTTTAAATTGTGTAGATAAATAATTGAGAAAAAAGAGAATAAAATGCTTTTTCATATTCTTAATGATCATTAATTATTAATATACTTTGTAAATATTTATAAAATATTATTAATAAGTTTATATAAGTTTAATAAAACATTTCTTAGATGTGTAAAAAAGTGAAACAAATTATTATTTCCTCTTTAACACACACGTAGAAGTAGACGAAATTAGTTTTCAACATAACAAGAAAATCTTTATAAACCAAAAAAAAAAAAAAAAAAAAATAATAATAAATAAAATAAAATAAAATATAATTTTATATATAACCCAAATAATAAGCTGTTTTAAATTTAACTGTATTGAAAATTTCTGAAAAACTTATTAAAACTTTTTCTACCTTAAAAAAAGGGTGCGCAAAAAATATAAATCATTTATTTTCAATTTATTAAAAACATTTTCCATACAAAATTCCTACAATAAATCATCAATAACTTTATTAATCGTTAATGAATACGGGGGTAAACTTTTTAAAAATCATATTCACTTATGTTTGTTCTCTATTTTTCACATCAAATCTAAGCGAATTTCCTTCTTATTTTTATCCTTTGCCTTCTTATTTTTATCCTATTAGTTTAGTTTAAAAGGATTGTATACAAAGGTGTACGTCCTCTCGGAGACCAAAGGTTCCCTTTAATAAAAAAACAAAGAAAAATAAAAAGAAGGCAGAAGAATAAGAGAAAGATGACAAAAGTGAGAATTCGCCCCAAAAAGATCAAGGAAAGGAAGTGCGCATGTCGTTATCTGAATAACCAGAATATTCCCCTGATGAAGCCCAGAATGTCACCTAAGTTACACCCTGCTACATCTCTCAGTTTATCGTGGAATCTTTTGTCATTTCAGTCTCAGACTCTGTATTCGGTGACAATTGTATAAAATATGCCCGACTGTTTCCAGTTCCTGTTTGTCCTCACACAACCTGCAAAAATCCTGTGTACTACCGACCCTATTACCCCTAAAGACTCTAACTGTGCAGTGTCCGCTTATTACTCCTACTAAAATCCTTATACTCTTCCCGTTCAGTCCTAATAGTACTCTGGTTGCTTTTGGATTTAACTTTGGCCATAATGTCCTAGAAACCCTACAATCCCGCATACTGTGCAAGGATCGGTTAGTGGAATTTTTCGTGGATTAGTCTAAAATATGTAATAACAAATGGGGGTTTTACCGAAACCAATTCTCCACAGCCTTACTGTGTATAACCTGACTAACACTTCCAGGTCCCTTTTGCTTCTATTTACCAAGTTAGAATGTAACGTTCTACACTACAAAGTTTTAAGAGCTGCTAACTCTGACTCTAGCTCCGTCTTAGATGGATTGATAGATCACTTAATGCTGCCGGCATGATGATCGGGAGAAATTTACCTTCGACCAGATATCCGAATAAGCGACTTTCACCCTACTTTTAGATTAACCAGATCTTCTGAACCTCTTAAATGTCAAAATGCAGCTTTTACTTTCTACCTTATCTACCTACCTTATCAATCCTCTGAGCACTTGAATGTTCCAAAGCTTTTTCGATCATGAGGAGTTTCATCGATATGAAGGGGAGTTTTTCGTTTATCTTTAATGGATTTGTGGCCCCCCGATTATAGGTGACAGACAGCACCTCTGGAACGGGTTTCCATTACGGAACTATAGTGAAGAGTTCGATCATTCAACGATCGGGTTCCAAATGAAATCCATCCTCCGAGGCTAAATCATAAGAGTGTTAATGCCAACAAAATAATTAGCTTTACTGATATCCAAGCAGGCTACTACTAACTTGTGTTAACCGCATCTGTGGTTGATCAATTCACTTGTGCAATAATTTTAGTATATATAATAATTTCCATTTCGATCTTAATTAATCCCTCTGCATCTCTTTAAATTAGTTTTCGTCTGAATCTGCGCAACTTTATCCCATTTAATGACTGTAGGTAGGCGGTCGTCCACGCGATGTCATCACTGGGGACACACTTGGGTCCAATATTTTGATCCCTTTGTGATATTTAATGACTGTAGATCTTGATCTTGATGACGAGTGATTTCAAAATAATGTAGTTGTTGAGACTCTGTCGGTTTTCTTACGGAATTCATATACATACTAAGGATCTTCTTTTCTTCTACTGAAGAGGGAAATCGCCGAAGCTCATAATTGTGTGGCCATTCATTCAATCTCGACAAGTTTCCATAATTTGCGAGTTCGGGTTGTGTAGGTCATATTGTTGACTAGTCTGCTGTCAATATGTAGGAATACATTTTCCATGCATTATTTACCAAGTATTTGATCCTTGCTTCCTTAATACTAAAATGCAACCATTATTTTATTCCATTTCAATTCCGCTCTCTGTCACGACAATTTTTTGTCGCTTTGCCTACAATTGTCCTCTGTGTGGTTAACTTTGCAGCAATTGTAACATTGCCTAAAGGAAATAAATGGTTTAGTAACCAGTTTTGTATACGCAAAATACATTGTTCTGGGAATTTGAAAACCTTTAAAAACAACTTTTAACACTTCATGTTGATGTTAAAAAATTTGGATGAAACGGGAATTGAGTAACTCATAGCAGCACTTAGGGAATGGATAAAGAAACCTTGTTAACTACCTATCAAACGATTGGCCAGTCAGTGGTAAACTACTAGGGTGGTCGATTCGGGTTTTCAATCAGTTTTAAAGCCGGTTTTTTCTGCTTTACCAGAGTCGGTTTTTTCTAAATGTTGATTTTTCGAATATCGAATAACCCGTTTTTTTACTTTTTAAAACCCGGTTTCGAATACTTTTTTTGCTCTGTAATCAAAGATTACTTAAATTAAATTTTGAAGTAAATACTAATACAGCCCGTCTAAATTTTAAAAATATTGGAGTCCAGTAACTAGAGTATATTTTTCTAACACACCTTTTATTAAACTTTTTTGATTTTCCTAATTAATTAACAAATTCTATTTGTAAAACTTATTGAAATAACTGTTTAATAAAATTTTATCAATCTAAAGATTATATTCCAATTACAATAAATAATTTGCGGCTAAAATATTATGGAAGTTATGGAATGCCTATGAAAATTGTCTAAACAGGGATTTTGGAATAAGCTAGGATTGCATAGTTAATTATGTTTAAAGTGTCCCACTTTTATCCATTTTTTACATTAAAGTAATAATGTAAATTAGACCTAAAGTTATAATCTTTTAAATTGTTAAAAATCAGTTTGGACCATGTTTTGTTAATCAAATTTAAACATAAACGTTATTTTTGTCAAATTTAAATAGATTTTGTTATTTATAATGAAAAACGTTTTTTTCTGAAATTGAAAAATGTCAACCGTTTTTGTTTTTAATGTCAACTATTCGAAAACCGGTTTTTGGAAAATGTCGAATAATCGATCACCCTATAAACTACTCAGCGCCAGTATGGACTCCTAAAGTTAGCGACACGCAGTGGAAGAAAGCAAGAAATGACAATAGAATAACATCTGCATGACGAGACGAAGTCGAAACATACCACGTAGCACTAGAGTGATATTTGCGCAACTATACGTTTAAACTCGTATACGTTTAAATGCGTATTGGTCGAAAATACATGACATCATTCAAGACCTCTGCGTGTGGCATAGGTCCAAAAACAATGTCATAACGTTTACATAACGGCATATAGAAAGCGAAATATTTGTATTTCTTTCTAATAATTAAGATCAAAATATACGAAATATCTTTTTATAGTATTCGCATTCAACCTTTTCAATTGCTGGGCTAATCCAGACTATGGATGCGGCTTTTCTACTTGGTTTACATCTCGCTGATTTGGAAACCAGGGTTAAAGAAGAGTAGGAAATAATCTAACTTTATATATCCGTGTAATTTCATTTCATTTCTTATGGCGAGATTTAGTAAACGACGGATTATCGTGATACCAAGTATCCAAAATGTCCTATTATTAACCCATACACGATAAATAGACCCATGTGTTCAGCAATATAATGGTATTGTTGTACTTCATAACGCGCTACCACCAGCGCCAGCAGATTACTAATAATATTTACTACAACACATTAAGAAGTAACGCAGGTTAACTTTAATTGCTAGTGGATTATAAACCAAGACAACCTATGACATGAAAAATATATTGTGGCTATGCCGAATTTTATACACCCATCACCGAAACATTAATTTTGCTACTAATCGAAACCTCAATAGAATTTTAAAAAATTTTATTCGAATGCCGGAATTTGGCCCCAGGTTATCGAACGTTGAATCAGAAAGAGCTTTTTAATCATTCACACGAAGGTAAAGGATATGAAATTCGTATATTGTGATATAAAATTATTAGAAATAAATATAAATATTTCGTTTTCTATATGCCGTTATGTAAACTGTATCACATTGTTATTGGACATTTAAAATCAACTGAGAAAATTTAATCCCTCAAGTTTCTCTCAGGAACAAGCTGACATACGTTTATTTTAGATTATAGATATGGTACAAATAAATATAACCACTTGGATATAATTTTCAAGGGTGTATTAAAATCGGATTCGATGAAACTGTTCATGATGTTCTTTTCACATTGCGTGCAAAATTCTTTTACACGATGCATAAATTACTATAATATTGATTTTTAGTTAATATTTGTTATTTTAATTAGTATTATATATTTGAAGAATTTATTATTATTATTTCCAGTGCTGTATCAAAAAGTAAAGTGCACAAAATGGATATTAAAGGAAAACTTCGATCATCTTTCCAAAAATGTTGGGAATGGTTTAATAAAGAACACATATATTATAGGTAAGGTATACCTGTAGTATAAACTATCGGTGATGCTAATGTTTTTCGAACTTCATTATTTATTGTTTTTCTTAAATGGCTTTTTAATGTAAATGTAATGATTCTTTCCACAAAATTTAGATTATTTTGGGGCCTTGTAATTATCATTTCGACATGGAATATAATATGGATATTTTTATTGACTCTAACACGTTTCTTTTCGGATTCAATAAGTATTGGTATTGAGACAACATATCTACGTTGGAACAATACATTTCCGGCTGTCAGTTTCTGTCTGACCAAAAATCGTTCCAGTAGTCGTGTTATGGAATTTGTAAAAACGGAAAATATACCACATAAAGTGTCAGCAACAAATTATGTTAAAAATCTTCACGATTACATGTTTACAAATCCGAATCATATCCATTTTAAAGAAGATTATTGTAATGGTTTGAATAGTACTTGTGGTGTGGATATATTAAGAGTGAGAAAAGAGGTAATTTTCGAAAATTATAGATCTATACAATACATTTTTATCTGGAAAAGAATTATATTTAATATTATTATTAGTTTTCCTATTAAAACAAAAATAAATTTTAAACATTTCAGCTTTTACCCAACTCGTGTGAGGATTTTATGACAAATATATCCTTTCGAGGAATATTATATGAAAATTGTACGGATATTTTTACATTTCATGAATTGGAGATGGGTTATTGTTATTTATCCAATAATTTACTTGACTAGTAAGTGTGCAAGACAAAAATTAATCATATTGCAAATAGATCGAACTTGTTTTATGCAAATTCAACAAATTTAACTTAATTTATTTACTTAAATTTCTTAAAATTTGTTATATACAGCAGTACCTAACACCTAAGCTCATGGTTTTCAGAGCTTTATTATACCTACCACCTAAATAGTCCACCAGACCCAAGTTTTTTAAGTCTTTATTTTTGATCGCATATATCTTGTTGTATAGTCCGATTGAAATCAAATTGTAGGCAAAGCATTCGATTCTCTGTACCGTAAAGACTTGGGGGATATCCAGACCCAGCAAAAAATAATTGATGTCATACTTTACAAACCACATCTTAATCACATCTAAAAATGCGATTGCATATTTTTCGCTTCTATAAACTAAATATTTCCTTACAAATAAAAACCGAGTTAAATGTGAGGAAAGAGATGTTGAAAAGTCACTACAAATAACATATTCGAAGTACATCAAATTTTGGTGAAAAACCAATGAAATTTACATAAGCGTGTCATTGAGAGAATATAGTTTATTTTTGACATCCAAATATCTATGAATAAGATTAGATGTAGTTCAAAGTTGTCAAAAATGAACAACATCCCTCCAATGACACGCTAATGTAAAATTCATCGGTTTTTCACCAAAATTGAAAGTACTTCAAGTATGTTATTTGTGGTGAAAATTCTACTTCTTTTTCCTCACTTTTTTTGCTGGGGAATATACCATGTGTTTTACAACAGCTAATTTTGAAAAATGTCATTGTGAAAATCAAGTTCTGAACTAATTTTCGACTTTATAAAACAAAATTCGAGATCTGGATCCTGATACGGAAAGAGCATTAAAGCCCCAATATGGGACAAGCGATATTATTTCAGGATACAAGTATCTCGTTGTCTTTTAAAACTTTGATTTCAATTTATACATTTGTCTTTAACGTGTTCTGAATGTAAATTTTTTATTTGTTTTTAATTGAATTACACAAATTTTGTATTTTTACTAAAATACCTTTTATTTCAGTGAATCATTTAACAATTTACCATTAAAATTTGATATTTCACATACCGACAAGAGCATGAAAATATATTTAAGAGGTGGATTCTTATGGAAATATGAAGTAATTATAATTAAAGCATTTATATTGTATATGTGTTAGACTGACTCACAGAAAAGGTTAGCTTGGGTTAATCCTCTCAAACAAAGCAATAAAAGAGTTGGTCTAATGTGTATATACATAATTACATGACTGTTTCCAATTGTTTAATCTATAATTTAACATTAGATGTACGTACATAGTCCCGAAGATTTGCCTTATTTCAATTCAATTACATATGATGCTTTTTCGGATCCTACCGTGTATAGATTCAATGTTGAGGAATATGATAATAATCCAGATGTTAAACAGGAATCGATACAACAGAGATCATGTAAATTTCCAGATGAACGAGATCCTGGTTCACCATGGCATTATAGGTAAGTTTTTAATTTTAAATAACGAAAGCAAAAATGCCAAAATTACTGGACAAAAATCTTGATTATGTTTTGGAATATAAAAGAGGTCCTGTATCGGAAATATATACCTACATATATAATTCATTGAAAACTCATTACAAGCGGTTCTTAATTAGTTATTAAATTACTTTAAATTTTTGTTTTACAGTTTCTCAAATTGTATGTCTTATTTAAGGATACAATTCGAATTGGAAAAATGTAATTGCACTCACTATACTTCACCCAAAATATGTAAGTTTATCTCGCAATTTTAATCAAGTTTGGAATTAACTATTTAATTTAAAATTTTTAATTTCAAATTCATATGAAATTTATTATTTGAAATTTCTAATACATATAACAATAGGAATTTAGATTCGGAAAGCAATAACACAGGCCAACGAACTGAAACTTTTTCAATCTAATCTGATTTGAGGTATTTTTAGCTGCCGCAAACGAATCTGATATAGGGAAAAGATATATATGTATTGTTTATATATTAAGGACATTTTATATAATTATAAACATGTATTTACGTTTATGGGTTAATAACGATTTTTTCCCTAACTTTGTTGTTGTTGTTGTAACAGCTTAAACTATACAATTTTAATCCGGGGGTTCTGTATTTAGGTCCAAGCCAAGAAATTGGGCTACTTCAACAGGGTTAGTCCATAAATCCATTGGGCTAAGTGAAGTAGGGTGGGCTGGACAGTTGAATATGTGGTGGGTATCATGGGGACCCTGTCCACAAGATGGGCATATATTGGGGACGGCACGGTCTATGCGGGACCAGTAGGCGTTGAGCCTGTTGCTCCATCCCGATCTCAGTTGTGCCAGAGCAACTCTTGTTTTCCGTGGCAGGTTCTTCTCTATTTCTGCTATGGGCGGTGGGCGACCTCCAAGAACGACATTCATGCGGTAACCTGAAACCGCGGTATTGATGGCGTCTCTATGAATGTCGTTTAAAGCTGCTGTATACGAAGTCCGATCTAAGGGATCCTGAACATAACTTCGTATGCTCTCTTCGTATACACGACTTTGTAACTTTGTAAATAACAATAAAAATAACCTAACTTTGTAAATATGGGTCTTTATTATTATATATATTTTAAGTTTCATTTAAATTAGTTTCAATATTTTCGAACATTACATAATTTGACTTTGACATTCACAATTTTTGTAGTCATCCACTGATCAAATCAAATTTTTTCGAAATTTGAAACGTTTTATTGCCTTGTTAAAAGTGTTTTTATGAAATTCACTTTTTTCAAATACATAAAGTGGATACAACTTTTTTATTTTCCATACCGGTATGGGTGAATATCATTTCAAAAGTATTTCAACGTTGGCCTGTGTAATTTATTTTAAGATTTTCCATTTTGAATTCAGAAAATAATTGTTTTCTTTTTTTTAACAGATAAATCACAATATTGCGATATTAAAGGTTTAAAATGTATTGAAGATGGTAAGAATATGAAAATCATTATTTTATTTTTTCATATCTTTTTTGAATTTGAAATAATAATATTTTTAATAAAGCTCAAATATCTACTCAAACAAAGGAATATGTGGTTGAAAAGAATGCATGTTATCCGTCTTGTTTGGAACAGCAAGTTACATTAGTTGGGTAAGATTAAACTACAACGACTTAAAGACCTTATTCATAATAAAACATTAAATACTTAGAGCTGCTATCTTTCCCTTATGGGAATTTGCAGTGAAAAATCTTACTGCTAGATAGATAGCACCTTGATTTTTATTATTAATAAAAGCCTTCAAGTTTAACAAACTAATTATAATTTCTATTTAGCTCCAATGAAATAGGAAATTTGGAAATTTCCAATATGTTTTATGTCGAAGTGAGTATAACGAATTTACCCACTGTACGTTATAATCGTGTTGTTACACAAACATATTTGGATTTAGTAGGTAAATATTTAATTCTATCGAATATTTAAAATTTTAAGTAAATACTATTATTTTGTTTTAGTTTCAGTTGGCGGCGTTATTGGTCTATTTGCGGGAGCATCAGCTTTAAATATTTTTGAAATATTTTATGTAATATTACGAAGAAATTAATGGTTAACATGAATTTAAAACAGATATATGACAATAAAATAATAAAGTTAATTATTATGATACTTTACTCACCTATTCCAAACGCCGTGTACATATTTCAAATGGTATTATTTTGCTTTAGTAGTTTCAATATAGTTTTCCATTAGATCACAAAACTGCAGTATAAAATAATAAACTGCAATTGAATGTTTTCTTTATCTCAATTCAATTAACATGTATGTTCTTTTTATTTTCTCTCTCATTAAACTTTACAACTTGAAGTTTAAAGTGTTTTTTGACTTTGTTTTTTATTTAAATATTACGTCTATACTATTTATGTTTAAATAACTAGGCCTATATAATTCTGTTTTTTTTTTTTTTTGTGTTTTTGTTCATGTAATTGATTGATTTCCTAAACAAATAAAATACATATAAAAAAGGTGATTTTTATAACATCTTAATGCCCAGTCATGTTGAATAATTTAATACTTTCGCTTTCTTTCAACATTCATAAACTTTGTTTTCTTCTTGTACAACTTCTCGTCTCGCCATTCCCAACTATTATCATCGACATCATTTTCATCATCATCATCTAAACTGCTATGTGGGTGGTGGCTCTATGAGCCATTTTAATTTCAGTTAGAATCAGGTTTAACATTGCGTCTCAAAATAGCCGCAGCTAAATCTTGCTTCATGGCCACTTGTTGTCGCTGATCGGCCAAAGGTTGGGTGCTGCGCAAACCATTGACGATATCTTTGGTCTTACCGAAATAGATTTCGTTTAAGGTGTTGCGTATTTTATTTTCCATTTCCTCGACCATTCGTCCAATATTAGCAATGTGTGGTGAAGACTCACTAACATTGGCGTCTTGTTCAGTTTGCCGGGTTAGAGAGCCACCCAAGTTCATTGTACCGGAACCTTGTTTGTTGGTTTGCAACCATAACATAGCGGTGGATGTAAGTTTATAGTGTGCTGTACGACCGGTAGGTTTTTCTTGGACTTCCACAACATGTATAGAGTCCCAACAGCCACGAATTTTTTTACTGCCATCGCCCGCCTTTTTAATAAGTATAACAGCAGCAAATCCATGATCCAAGTCCCATAGATAGACTGAAGAAACACCACCCTCATAGTACATTTCGCGATATTGATCGAAGGCATAGTTGGCTTCAATTTCCAATTTACGCAAACGCTCCGAGGGCATTTGACCATCTTCTAAGGGGGGATAATAGGTATTCGACCACGGAGATCTATATGAATCACCATCACGATTATAGTCACACAATAAATAATCCTTGCCATGTTCCTTGTCTTTGGCAATTTTCAATGGTTGATCTACGGAGGAAAGTAAATCTTCACATAGATCGGGTGCCAAGTCAATAAGATCACTTAAATTCTTTTCGATTTGTTGGGGCGGCAAACGACGCATTAAATCTAAAGCACAATCCATTTGTAATTCAGACTAAAAATATATAAAAATTACTTTATAAGGTAAAAAAAACAAGATAAAAATTGTTATCATTTATTTATTTCTCCTCTTAAAAACTAAAAATTGACTCATCGTTTTTTTTTTAAAGGCCTCTTCAAGCAGACCGGTAGTGCTCCTCCCTCATAAACAAAAGACTTTTAATACCATTAAGTACTCATTTAAATCCATATTATTTATACATTGTGCTTTTTTATTTATCATTTTGATTGTACTATAAATCTATTTGCGTTTTCGAACTCCAAAATATTGCCTTCCTATTATTACTCACCATTTTTTTGTATTTCTTTTTTCTTCTTTCTACACTTTATAGGTTGCAGTAATTTTTATATAGCTTTTCTTTGTGGATATTGTAGATTGTTTTTTTAAAGCTATTAACAATTTTTATAATTTTTAAAGTTTAATACTTTATTTTAAATAGTTTCAAAGGTTTTCCCGAATTATGGGGTCAGGAAAATTGCTGATGAATCGGGAATGGCTTTTTTCTGCAGCTAAGAAATTTTTTCTCTTTTCTTTGTTTTGACAGTTCGTAGTATATGATGATGACAAATATTTACAGGGTGTATCTAATAAAACGGTATTAGTAACAAAACTGGGCATCACTGAACAAAACGTTTAAACATAACGCACAAAAAGCTTTTTAACTAATTTTTTCTAATCCCAGTATTATTTTGTGTGCTGTTATGAAAATTGTAAATAAAATTGTCGTATTACATACTGATTTTTCGCATTTTAATCTTTTATACTTGTGTGCCATACATATATTCAATTCTGTTATTTTAATTAAATAACGTCCACCATATTGGTATAAAGTCAGAGGGCAGATTAAAATTCAATTTTACTTTTTTCAAAATTCTTTTGACAATAAAAAAGTGAATAAAATAGTAAACAAAATAGGTCAATATATCTCACAGATTAATTTTTTCTTGAAACCTTAATTTCGTTGGACTGTGTAGTTATACATTTTTTAGTTTTAACATGTTAACACAATTGCATATATTTATTACAAATAAAGTGATAATTGTCCTCAATGTTTTACCACAAGTGTAAATTGTTGGTGCCACCAAGTTTGCACTTGTTATTGATTTCACATCTGTCAGCTTTTATATATGAACAAGTACCATATTTTACATAGAAGAGCAGTGATGTCAACTTAAAAATTTTACTGTAAAATATAAGTTTTTATATTTTTTTAATCAAGCGTTTAAGGTGATAAAATAGATTTATTCCAAAATTTTTCCTTTTTCTTCATTATATTTAAATCAGATATTTGTTGTTTTTATTAAAAATATTTATTTGATAATATCAGTTGTAAAAAATCCAAAAATTTTGTAGCGTTTTTAGAACACCATAAGCGTTTTTATATTAAAACAGTTGTCATCACTAGCTGAGAGCAAGAGACGTCGTCTTTTTTTACATTTCATTCGTTGCAGTGCAATAAAAAATTTCACTTCTAAAAAAAATTTTTAATTTAGTTTTTATACCTTAAAAAACTCATATTTATTAAAAAATTCTATATAAAATGATACACCAACAAATAAGCTTTAAAATTATATAAAAATTAAGTGGTTAAAAATAAATTTATAGCAAGAAAAATGCATTTGAAAATTGTGAAAAAATGTTGATCAAAGATGAAAAAAATTGTATGACGGGTTAAAAAAAATTGAGAAAAGTGTAGAAAAAAAGAAAAGAAAAAGTATTAAAGAATGAAAAAATAGATGAATGAATTAGAAAAAAATAAAAATAAAATAACAGTAAATGGAGACGTAAAACGTCAGTTGCTGGCTGGTGGATGTCATTGTGGGTTTATTTTGTATGGGAATTTTTGTTGTAAATGGTAGAAAGCCAAGAAGGAATGTGAACATGAAAAATGTACAATATTTTTAGTGCGGTTTTTCTTAATTAATTGTGTTAATTAATATCAAAGTGTTTGTTATCACATTTTTATCGATAAGACTGAATATTGTTGTTCAGTAAAAACAACATCTTCTGGACTGAATGTGTTAAAGTGCGTGTACCTAAAAAAAGAAAAAGTGCAAAAAGAGAAAAATAAAAATAACAAACGTCATTAAATTCGCCTGTTGCTTTACCTATTTGTCACCTGTTCTGTAGAAGGAGGTGTTTAACAAAGATATTTTGCTCCAATTACATATAATCATCACATCCGCAACTACATCATATAATAATTGTGAAACCAACTACTTTCTTGTTCGTTTAAAAAACAACCTTCAATTCGTTATTGTTTCTTTTAAATTTTGTCGGTCTTTGCCGCTTTCTTGACAGGTTTTTAAAAGAAACAAAAAAAAAAAAACAAATTAAACTTCAACTCTTTTTTAAAACAACAAACAAGTATTTTTTTGATAAAAATACATATTTTGGTTTTTGTGTACCTATATGATCATTTTTTATTAGTTTATTCTTTTTGGCAAGAACTTACCAAGTTTCCCACTGATTTTTTTCGGGGTTTCTATGGTTTTTTTGTATGTGTGAGAAGGTCTTGAAAGCGGTTTAAACATAAAGTTAAAAGTTGCTTGTTTACTGGCAGAGCCAAAGTGCTTAATTTTCACGCATTTAATTGGATTTTTGTATTAAAGGTAAATACATTTTTTAATATATTTTTTCATTATTTCATCACAATTTTAATTATGTATAAACTTTATTGCCGATTTAATTTCTAAGTGTTATAATTCGTATGTAGGTATGTACATTAGGGTATAAACAAAATTAAGGAGGAAGTACACAACACGCGTTGAGGCGGCAACGCGTTTTACGCTTTTCAAACTTTTCGCGGTTTACAAGCTGCAAGTTACGCACCACGCGTCATTTTGGTCTTTCTTTTAATGTTTTTTAAGACTATTACTGTTTTAAAAATCAAAATTTTAAGTTTTTGTTTATTTTTTAATATTTGTCTTTCATTGTTGGTGAAATTTATTTCATTTAAGTTTATTCTTATTCTACACAAAACAAAATACAACCATGATCAGCTGCCGACGCGTCAAAAGTTGAAAGTTGCTGAACTTTTCGCGGCAGACGCGTTACAAACTACAGTGTGTAACTTGTTAAATGAAAATACACTATTTCAACTTAGATTGTATAAAAGTTATCACCCTAATGTACATACATACTTTAAAAATTGTTTGCAAGATTTTCTGTACATAATTCATACTGATGGAAATGCATTTTTTTAAACTTAAATACATATTTGGAACTGCTGTTCGAAAAACAGGACTTTGTATAGTAGATTTCATATTTATTAACATTTTTGAACAAAGACCACAAACTAAAAGTTTGGATAGACCTCTATATATTAGGTACATACCAGAGATGTCTAACTTTGGTGATCTTTGCCCCCATCTCGGGTGTGTCAATGAGATTTAATATTTGCGAAAATCGGCAGAAACATTTAGACTAGTACAAAAAACTGATTGAGCCAATTTTTGTAGAGATACTAGAACATCTAACATAATTATGAGCTCAAGGTCCCTTTTTGGGGGGTACGGTTCTATGTCGACTAGATGAAATAATGGGCCAATTTCATCCGTTTTCAATTGGCTTCGTCAAGAGAATGACGTAGCTTAATAGACTCAGAAAGTGATTCTAAGCTGATTGGTATATTTTAAGGTTAGTTAAGGTGTTACAAGAGTAAGAGAAGAATTAAGTCAGTATTAGACCACATATATTTTACGAAAAACCTATCTTTTGGTTTACAAGTTTATATATTTTTTTATTATTTTAATATACAAACATGCATGCACATTACACACATTTAAATTTCACTAGTCTAATGCAGTTTTTTGCAAAATTTTTTATTATTATTTTGATTTGTTAATTAGCGAAAGTGCACAGGGAGTCTAATTAAAGTTTGTGTCTGTCTCAATTGTGCAGACACTGAAAATTTAATTATTTTTCAAATGAAATTATTTTTTCTTAACCAGGTCATGAGAAAAGCTGTGATGAATGAATATATGAACATATAAGGCCAATGCTCATTAAATTAATACAATTATGTACATTTAAAAAGCCATAAGCATACAATTTAGAATGTTAAATGAGAAATTTGTTAATTAGACATCAGTGAAATATTTGGAAGGTTAAAAATTAGATATTTACCCATTATGCATAATAACAAACGAGCTAGTTGCTAATTTATTTTGTATGTACACCCATTAGGGGAAATATACTGGCTTTTTGGGCTGTTAGAATGAAATGTAATTGCAAATTCGTAAGTTTTGGCTCAAATCAAATACGTCTGTTATTTCGAATAACAAATTGCGAATATAAATTTGAAATACATAGTCCTATATTTCAATATTAACTGCATCCATTTTCAAGCTTGTCACAGAATGTGGGATTATAAAAACATTCATTAAAAACTTCATTATTGTCTTAATAAACAAAGAAATTTTAAATAAAATCAAAATCAAAAATCAAAATCAAAAAAAAATATGTAATATTTATGCTTTGTGAGTTAACCATAGGGCTACCAAGATACTTATAGTACTGGAAATGATCAGTCTAAGGATTCTGACAGGGATCTTAATGGACATTGCTGAATTAGGGATATTGTCTGTAAGTGGGAGAGTAATGTAGCGGACTATTGCAGGTTATGCGAAAATTCAGAGAAACTAGATAATATTTCACTGTCCTAGAATACAAAATCTCATGTTGAAATGGCTTGGAAATAGATTTTCTGATCAACTTGCGGAAATTTAAAAGTTTTATCAGAGAAATTACTCATTTCTTCGACTGGGTTTTATAGGGAAATTCAGGTTCTCTTACACTTCATTCTTTAGAGAATTGATTTGGCAAAACTTCTAGGTTGGAATCCCTCGGGAATCGACCTGTTTCCACTCCTCCCTCCTCTTTATTTACGTTCTTTTTGTTTTTCTAGTGTTTGCTTCTCTATATTTGGATCTTCACTTTCTATAAAGGGTGAAGTGGCACCTTTTTATGCTGCATAACCCTTCTTAACCCAATTTACCAAAAAAAAAAAAAAAATAGGGAATTTGGAGAAGATAAAGCAATATCAATCGAAATAATAGCAGGAAACCATTCCGTTTTCGGTATTAGAACACTACAGCCTAATTTTGTTCATAACCCTAGTGTAGAATCTTTGAATTGTCATTATGAATTAGTGATCTATGAAAGATTCCTAGACATTGCCAACTGTTCCTACAAGAGAGTCAATATTGATAACTTTACTAACAAGTGACACAAAAATGTATCAGATTTTTTAAAATGAGAAAATATGATTTATAGGTAAAGACAATGAAGCAACTGCTCTAGAACAAAAGTTCTCAAACAATGGTCCTTGGATCACTAGGCAACATCCCGAATGGTCCGCAAAACGAAGTTAAAAAGGGGAGGTTTTTTTATTACTCATGTTTAAGTTTATCTTTAATTTCACAAAAACTTCGAGTCATGTTTTATGTCGACAGCTCGCCCAGTAAATCTAAATTATTTTCCAAAAACATAAACTTTAACTGTGTCTTTACTTAATATGGTTATGAGACAGTAATCAGAAGAAGTTGCGATGCAATAAAATGTACTTATAGTGCAACATTGGGAATAGATATATGTATGTTGTTGTTGTAGCAGCGACACCTGAAATTACACGTATATATATTTAAACATTATTCCCTACTCTTCTTCTTCTTCGCTCTGGTTATCCAACTCCGTTAGATCTAAACCCAGTAGACGAGCCGCATCCAACGGCTGAGTCCAAAGGGATTCAGGTTCCAACTGAGTTGGATTTGCCCTGCAGTTAAAAAGGTGTTGAACATTGTGTGGGCCTGTTCCACACGCAGGACAAAGATCTTGAATGGTGTCGTTTATTCTCGACCAGTACGAGTTTAAACGGGTACACCATCCGGATCTTAGTTGTGCCAATACCACTCTAGTACGACGTGGTAGGTTTCGTTCCTCGTTTGCAACGGGTGGGGGACGGCCTCCCAGTATTATACTATCTCGGTGGGAATTGATGGAGTCTTCCACCGCCTGTTGATGGATAGTATTCAAAGCTGTCCTGTATGAGCTTTCGTCCTCTATATCATCCAGGTGTTCTTGGATGTCACTCTCATACATACGAAGATCTTTCCTGACATGCCTCGGGGGGGGTTCTAACTCCGTTAGATGGTGGTTAGGGTGGCCCCTCCGATGACATCCCAGTAGGAACTGCTTTGACAGCATGATGTTATGTTCCTTAACTGAAAGCATCTTCGTTTCGTCATGCAGATGTTCTTCGCATGTCATTTGAATGCAGCCTGTCACCGTTCTTAGGGCTGCGTTTTGACAGCTTTGAAGCTTCTTCCATTGCGTGTCGCTAACTCTAGGTGTCCACACTGGCGCTGCGTAGTTTACCACTGACCGGCCAATCGTTTGGTAGGTAGTCAACAAGGTTTCTTTATCCATTCCCCAAGTGCTGCCGGCTAGAGACTTGAGTACCTTGTTTCTACTTCGCATCTTGTTGCAGATTGCAGTGGTGTGCGCTGAGGACATAAGGAGGCTATCGAATGTGACACCAAGTATTTTGGGGTGATTTACCGTCGGAATTTTTCCGCCATCGACTGTCACATCCAGTTCTAGCCCTACTTCCTTAGTCCAGGTGGTGAAGAGAGTTGCTGAGGATTTCGTAGGCGATATTTTTAAATTCCTTAAATGGAAGAAGCTGGAAAGATCACATAGGTAACTGTTTATCAAGCCGCAAAGGTCATCAATACTATTGCCCGTGGCCAATATCGAGCAGTCATCGGCGTAAGATATTATTTGGACGCCGTCCGGGGGTGTTGGGAGTTTAGACATGTAGAAATTAAACAGGATCGGCGAAAGAACTCCACCTTGGGGTACTCCCTGTTTAATTCTACGAGATTTAGATCTCTGGTTCCTAAACTCCACAAATGACTGTCGACCACACATGTAGTTCACTAGCCATCTCTTGGTGTTGTCAGAGAGACCAGATGTTAAAATGTCTCTGAAGAGAATGGCGTGATTGACCGTATCAAACGCTTTTGATAGGTCGAGTGCCACGAGGACCGTTCGTTGACATGGTCGGGCCTGATTAAGGCCGTGGCAAACTTGTGTGGTGATGGCGGTTAAAGCTGTTGTCGTACTATGCTTTAGGCGGAATCCATGTTGATGATCTGCAGGATGTAGGTGTTGTTGTAATTCCGGGAGGAGTAGTGCCTCAAGCGTCTTGGCAATTGGTGACAGGAGGGAGATAGGCCTGTAAGATTCTCCCTGGTTTGCACTTTTCCCTGGCTTCAGCAAGGGAACAACCCTGCCCAATTTCCAGACCTCGGGTATTATAAGGGTTGACATCGACAAATTGAGGACTTTTGTAAGGTACTCAACTCCCGGTTCATCCAGATTTTTCAGCATCAACATGGATATACCGTCTGGGCCAATAGCTTTCGATGACTTAGCATCTCTGATGACCTTCGTAACCTCGCTCGTAGTAAAAACATATGGTCTGTCACTGACTCGAAGATCGTGTACCTTCCTTACGATGCTTCTTTTCGCCTTGTCTCTGTCGGGGTGCTCTATAAATTGACGTGCAAAGTAGTTCGAGCAGCGCTTAGGGTCGGATACGGTATTT